CAAAAGAACCAAGAGAAGTAAAAAGTATATTAGTTCAGAGCTAGAAATAGTTATTGCAATCAATGCAATCCATAAGGGACAGGCAGAGAGCACCACTGCTCCGTGTGTGCAGATGGATTTCAAAGTGTTTGTGAGTGTGTGTAGATTTGACATGTTTTTTCTGAGAGCTGGGCCGTTATATAATGGCCAACAAAAACAAACTGAGTCCTTCCAAGGGACACGAGGAGAGCCAACAGCTCCATGAATTCACAGCACTCAACCTCAACAGTCTGTCAAAAAATATACAAAAAAAAAGAAAAAAATCCCAGTACCAAAAACAATATGGGTGATGAAAACCATAAGAAAATTGTTTGCATAAATGTAAGAAGTCTGGAATGATAATGACACATTTATTTATTTGATTAATTGATTAGCATGTGTAAAAAAAATGTTCCCATTCAGTTCTATTTTGATTCAATTTTACAGCAGTATGTGTAGTTTCTATATTCTTCTCGGAAAAATGTCAACATATGATATACATTAAACTAATCATCTAAATAAGTACACTGTGTAGAACAGTAAAAAATATATATCATTACGCAAGGACTTATTTATGATCACTCCAAAGCAACTTAAGAGCATACTCACAAAACAATACTCTGAGCAACTTCTGTTGAGACAGATAAACAACATCTTTACGGAATAAATTCATTGTATCCATACACTGTTTTCCTTAACGCAGATTCCTTAAGAAAAAAGTTTAAATAAATTCTACATCAGTTCAGTATAAAGCCCATGTATATCATTGGTCAAGCTAACGGGGCCTTGCGTGATAGGTTCAATGGAAAATGTATAATGTGAGTTCAAATCATCTGATGGAAAGCCAAGCAATTCCATGCATGAGAGCAGCAGCTAAATCACTTACGCTGGAGAGTGAAGAGTGATATAAAACTTTTTACATGAGATGGACAAAGGGCTTTGAACCAGCAGCCAAGACAATCAGCCACAGGGATGAGCAGAGAGGTAGAGATGAGAGAAAGGATTAAGAAACAAAGAAAAGGCATTCAAAAAATGCTCAGCCTGAATATTTGAAAATCATTTCAGAATTTATATAGTAAATAAATATGGACCAAATCAGTCTCCAATAATCATAAGAAAACAGAAACTTTTTCCAGGACATAATTTCATACTTTTTTATACTATACAGTATTTCATTCCAATAGTTTTCTTATTATTAGTGTTGAAATTGATTTAAACTACAAGAAAAAACATTTTGCTGACAACAAAACTTTCTTTTTAAGTAAATAGTTTTACTGAGAAATATCACAGATGGTATTTGATTACACCGGTTAATGTGACAAAAGAAAACTTTCGTTGGAGAGTTTGTTTCCACTCGTCTCAAAGTTGATATGTTATGGAGGTCTATGGTCTTACCAGGTTCTCATTTTTCCAACGGTTATGATTTAGAAAAGAAAAGTCAAAGTATGGTCACTCTGGCTCTGATATGATACTGTGCCTGTGCATAAAGATTTATCCTGTGCTATAATTGTAATAAGCATTATGGTGGTGGCAAGTTTCAGGATTGTGTATCTTGATTAATCCAGAAAGAATGTAAACCTGGGTCTCTCTTCAACCTATAACAGAACAGCTGCCCGGGCTTGCAACACACACACTTACACACACACCTACCCATTTGAAAAACAGGCATTCGTTTGCTATCTTAGGATCAAATTAGGGTGGCAGGAATTTCACACTGATGGTAGATACGAGTTCGTTCACCTGCTCCAGTCTGTTGTAATGACAGATGAAAGACTGACTTAGTGAGATTAAATCTGGCCTTACGTTCTGTGTGCAAGGCCTGAAGGCCACTTACAAAACATACAGTAATCCAGATGATGACTGATGCTGCCATACACGCGGCACTGTGTTTAAATCCATTCACAGCGTCCCTGACAAAAAAAATCTGATAACATTCCCTATTCTGATAAGGCTAAGAAAACATATCTTGACAAGAATATACCCTGTATCTTTCTGTACAGCACCGCAGTCATCAGTCACACACGCAAACACACACTCGCATAACCGCAGATCACACATACCTTCCCATTGCCTTAGCTAGACAGAATTCTTGAGTTCTTTTGAAGGCGCCATAGAGAAAACATCCACACTTTCTCAAACATCTCTGATGATACACACAGGCACGTACACACATTCAACAAACGCATTTAAAACACAAGCAAGACAGTGGCCATCTGATACTAATGTGTACTCTATCAAAGCTGTTAAACACACTTTGGAACCCGTATAAACAAAGATGACTCTAAAACTTACACACAGAAGCAAAATCAAAGGACAAAAGTTAAGGCAACTGCAGAAGACTAATCGAAATAGATGTTCAAACACAAAAAATGGTACGAGATATCTGAAATGTCCCTATAAAATCCATAGTGACCTGTTAATCTACTGCCTGCTTTGAAAGATATTTGCAATCTGAAAGACGAAGCGTCCCTAAAACATGTTTTGGAGCCAAATGTGTCTACATGAGGGTCTGTGACATGTAAATACATGATAAGCCATCACTTTAACATCTGTTTCTATCAGTTTTAGCTGTCGGTAAATATGTTTTTGTCTTCCTCTGCTATCTGTGTATGGGTGACCTAACCCGTTCGGCTATCTATCTGTTAACACCAAGGGCCTGGACAGCAAACTGTGGGATGGGGCCCCTGACGGCTGCACATGGGAGAGTGTGGGGGCCTGTTGGTGCAGCTGTCCTACTCCATGGTAACATAAGACCTTATTAGAGTCCATTAGACCACTCTGAAACTAATAAGAGATTGTCAAATACATCCAAACATTCACACAATTCACAGAGAGGCAGGAAGTGAACAGAGGGTGGTAGAAGGGGGTAGACAGGGGTCTGCCATTTGTCTACATAACGTCAGCCTTTTCTTTAATTATGCTTTGTTTTATTTCAAATGTGAAAGGAAAGGCTGGAAGGAGCCAATCATCTGTACTCAATGAAAAAAAACAATATTTCTGCTCTGACTTTTTCAATTTCACTGTCAAATTCTATGATGAATTACTTCAAACCTGAGAGAGAAATTCAACTCTCATTGTAATCCATATTTTCGTTGTTCCCTAAATTCCCTACTCGGGACTTTCATCTGACAGCTCAAACTAAAATTGTACTCGCATCTGGACAGTGAGACAGGCTTGTCTGGAGGCTGCAAGTCCAGAAAAAGAGCCTCCCCTGGCCCTGACAGCAGGGGCTTGACCTGGTAAAATGCCTTTGATCTTTAATTAACACTGGGCACGACTCTGGAGAGGAAAGAGCTGATGAACAAGGCACCATTTGGGACAAGCTACAATAACGGGGAACACCAAAGACCCACTTCTTTGTTTTAAACTTCAACTCTGCTTTAAGTTTAAAGTCACAGTGGGAAATCCGCGATGCAGAGGTGCCTGCTGTCACAAAGCTGCTGAGTCTGACTTCTCAGAGCTCAGAGTGGAGCTCGCTGAAACTAAGAATAAGAGTTGTGCGGCAGACGGCAACCTTCAACAACAAAGCAAACGTGACGTCTCATGGCAGATGCAGCTGGAGCTTCAGTGTGATCTTTGTCCAGTGGTTGATTCTCATGCATGGTTAGGCCACAAAAAACACAACTACTGAAGTCTAAAGGAAGCTTATCAGCAACACAATTTAAAACTTTTTTTTTTAACATTGGGGAGCATAACGTCAAGCTCAAAAAAGCAGTTTCAGTTTTTAGAGCTAGAATTATTTTTTTAAAAACTCAATTATTTATGGAACGGGCAAGAAATTCTGTGCAGACTCAGTTATTTTTTCTTTTTTACATGGGGTTATGATAGACACAACTTTCTGAGAGTTTAGGCTTTGAATCAACGGCTTCATTATTATTTTATTATTTTCTTTTTTTGTTTAGATTTAGATTTAGATTTTTTTCTGATAAAAACAAAAGTATGAATATCGCGCAAATCATGTATACGAGTGTAACCTTTATTACAAAGGTACATTTCAGAAACAATTAACTCTGTTTACATCAAGAAAAATTTTCAAATGCACAGAATTTTAAAAGGCCCAACATGTATGCTGTTTAAAATTCTTGGATGAAAGGCATAAGCTGACATTTAACCTTTGACCCAGTGGTCATTTGATCCAAAACAGTCTAATAAAACTTCCCACAGGGTCTCATTCACTTACTTTTACATGGTGGAAATGATGAGAGAAGCACATAGAAATATACAAATGAAATTTAAAGAGATTGACTTTCCACTGATGCCCAGGAAAAGTTCTCAGGTGTGTTTCATTCCATTATCATTCTGTCTCAAAACTAACTCAAGATGATGAAAAAAGCAGTCCTGCTCAAAACATGTGTGACGATCTTTTAACAGACAAGAGGAGCAGTTATACTAACCAGAAAATGAAAGGCAGATACTTTTGCAACCATCTCAAATAACTACTACTCTTTCACAAGCACTCACATCCATCACTGAAACTATTTCATTATTCACCAACCACTCCAGCCCACTCATTTCTTCTGCGTTATCAGGGCCCTTCTTTGCAGATCTGGTTAAGATCATCCCAAATCTAATGATGTGTCAGGGGGAAAATTACTATAGTACCACGGTATGCTGCACCCGATTGCTGGGGGACCTGGAAAAGATATCACTCAGACGTATAGACATGTGCGTGCAGGACTATGCAACATATCGACAAACACCCTAAAAATTTTGGGGGTTTGCTCTCACATACAGAATGTGCACGCAGGGACAAACACGCACGCTCACAAAGACTGAGTGCTTGACATTAAAGCCTCTGAGCTGACAGATATGAAGTGTGGGAGTCTTCACATCAGACGGCGTACTTTTCTACTCTTGAAAAAAAACTTTTGATTTGTTTCGGCCACAGGATCCAAAACAGAATACATGGAGGGGAGACTTGTGATAAAAGAACGTGCATAAATAATTGATGACAAAGCTGAGGGAGAAAAAAAGGGTCTTACTCTGACAGGTGCTGCTTCTCTCTTCGTATCCTGGGTTACAGAGACACTTCCCAATCGGCACAAGCCATTCCCCCTCGGTGCTACAGTACATTCGTGGAGGTTCCTCTTCTTTGGAGTGGTTGACACACGAGCCTTTGACTTCCACCAGTGACTGGGAGTCCAACGGCACCGTATCGGGGAAGGATGCCAGATTCCGCACAGTGTACGGGCACTTTTTAAAGTAAACCCTCACCGATACCAAAGCCACACAGGCCCCTACGTCCTGGAACGCCAGATAGAAGCCCTTTTTGCTCAGAGGGCCCACCTCGCGCACCTCGGTGTTGAGCTTGAGAATGCGATCTCCGAGGTCCGTCTGGGTGAAGCTCTCGTCGGCCGCGATGGTGTCGATCTTGACGAACTGATGCTCTCTGAAGTGGCTTCCCTGGTCGTCGTCTGCCTCCAGGTAGAGGAGGTTGAAGGTCTCCTTGCAGGTGCCGAGGACCAGCGGGATGGAGTTGCAGTCCCTCAGTGTGAATTTCAGTTCCACGTAGATCTTCTGGGCCGACTGGCGAGGGATCCAGTTGGTGCGAAGCCAGTTGTTCTGGCTGTACTCCATCACGTTGCAGACCTGGAAAGTCCTGATGGGAGTGTAGTGCTCATCCACCCCACTGATCTCCTCCCACTGGAAAAGATGAAGAAAAAGGAGAGGTCGAAAGGAGAAACCGAGAGAAACAAGAAGGAGAAACAGACCCGAAAGAGACCCACATAGTCCCCAACAGTGGAGAAAAAAGAGCATAGATTAAAAAGTAAGAGAGGATAGAAGTAAAGAGAACAGAAATTCAGGAAAAGTTTAAGACAGAAAAGCAGGGGTTCGGAATTGGAGATGGAGATGGACAAATAAAAGGAAAGAAGGGGAGAGGAAAAAGAAAAATCAAGTTATTTCTAGCCTGTAAGCATTTTGAAATGAATTATTTAGATACAGCTTCAGTCTTACTGAATACTAAGCATCTAATAAACACTTAAGGGTGAAAAATCACACTACTAGATCGCTTGTAAATTACTCAAATTAATTAAAAGCAAACTTGCTGCCAGAGCCTTTTTTTGTTAGAATGCTGTGAAAATATCTCTGAGAAAGCCCACAAAGTGTGATTTCCCATTTCAATAACTCTAAATCCATATGAAGCTTCTTAATTAATGTTAAGTATTAACCAAATCTTGTAGTGTTCTTTTCCACCCTTGTACTAACATTTTTTTTTTTCTGTCTCTAAAAGTGAGAACTTTCAAGCTGCAGTCTTGGTTATTTGCATCACAGAACTACTTCTACTGAAAAGGAAACGTGCTGAATCCACTATGAAACAAAAGAATCTACGACGTATATACAGATGTGAGTGTATACCAGGAACGTTCGTGTCTATCTTACATTTTCCCTCCACTGGGAGAAAGCAAAGAGAGGGGGAGAGGAGAAAAAGAGAGCGGGGTCATTCCTTTTGATTTCAGCACAGCGGGAAGATTCATTGATCATACGCTTTGGCTTTGTTGTCCGGGCAAATCAAGACCGAACCACAGCGAGGATGAATGGAAAAACACCTGAAACAGTGGGCTCATAGTGGTTAAAATGACAGAAAAGGACGAAAAAAGGAATGAATGGATTATTTATCTCTCTCTCGTGTGCCTGACTGAGCAGTGGTGTCGGAGGCAGACTGATTTACAGTGACAGACTTTCTTTGTGACTGGAAAAAGTAAGGCTTTGCCACAGTAGAATTGAAAAGTAAACATATTTAGCGTTTCGAGTGTCATGACAAGCAAACGCGGCAATTACCTCTTCTCAGGCGGACTCTGACGACGAGCTGAGAAAGTGTGTTTTGTGTGCCTGCGTGCGAGTGTGTGCGTGAGTGTGTGGGTGCAAAACATATCTATGAGTGTGTGGTGTGGAAAGAGCTCTCAGACTAAGGGACGGCCACTCCCTTGTCACCTCACGGCAAAGTCAATTCAACACTTCTGAGAGTGCAAGAAAATACAAGTAAAAATAGAAGTAAGAGACAGAAAAAGAGATAAGCTAAATGAAAGCTTGGTGTTTAGTCTCCACTGTCATGCGTTTTTTTTTTTTTTGTGGACATCACCTCATTCATCAGACTGTAGTCGCAGTTCCAATAGTCCTAACGTTAACAAGGAGAGACCGGAGACTTTTATCCACGCTAAAAATAGAGAGGTTAAGTTTAACTTAACATTTCACCCCTCTGCTCTCACAACATTAAAAGCTTAACTTTAAATATGAGTATAAAACGATGTGATGACATGCAAAAGGTTTGCTGACAGACTTTAACACAACAGAAGGAAAGGGGAGGACAAGATTTTCCACTTTGATAAGTGACTCTTATGAGAGCGGGTTTGATAAAACAAGCTACTTACTTGAATGCACTGAGAATTCTTTCTCTATTATAGTTTAAAGAAGCCAGACAGGCTCTTTAAAAAGACAAATAACTGTGATTTTCATTCGGCTACTTCCTCCTCCATGCTTCCGCTGCTATACTACGAACACTTTCTGGACATCCCATTCAGACCATTTATTGGTCCACATGTGTTATTTCGTCTTGGATCTCAACCTCGCTTTGAAGGAAAACACCGTCTCCGATATTGGTTCTACAGCTTCGGCCTAAGGATCAAATAGCGGGCTTATGTCTGCTATTTTCATTGCTGTTTAAATGTTAGCCGATTGTAATTTGTAACACAAAGGCTGTCAAAGCTGAACTACACTGTAAAATCCTGAGGTGCCGGAGGGGATAGGTTTCGAGAAACAGTTAACACAATGTGCCCTTTTGACAATAAAAGCCTCACAGCAACTAACAGCAAGTTGCTGTGAGAGCAGCACTGCACATCATCAGCCAATCTTATCAGATTAAGAGTTCAATGACTGTTTTCTTCTCCTTAAAATGACATTCTATGAAAAAACATGCTCTTTAGATCGAGGGCGAGTCACTTATGTGCAGTCGGTCAGGAAGTCATGACTGACATGATGATTCTCTCATATCATTCCTATTAAGTATTCCAAAACTTTTTTTCTCCATTTCCTTTCGTTGCGAACGATAATATTGACCTATATAAATAATGACTGATGGCAGAAAGCTTTTACCACAAATCATCTCCGGAGAAGTTTGAACTTGGCCAAACACAAAAGCAGACAGGGTTTAAAATCAATCTCTGTGTACATCTATTTGTGTTAAGTCTGCTAAATCCGTGTCCAAAGGGGATGACTCGAGTTGTGCAAGTTTCTGCCAAAGTAAATTAGAGCCATAATCCCTCCCACCCATCACTGTCTGGTACTTTATATGTGCATCAGACAAAAAAGTAGGAGAACATAAATAAGATACTTTTAATGTCATAATCTACCTTCAGAGCAAGTTGTGCTTTTGCATATCACTCCGTTCCATGCAGCTGTTCGACAATATGTTATTCTCATTAACAACTATGAGGAAATTGCTAACCAGAGCCAATTGATAAGAGTACTAGAATGAGCCTGATTGCTGAAAAATTATTTCTAAGATCTCAATTGTATTTCCAACATTAAAAAGTCCTTAAGAATGTATGGAACTGGTCTAAATTGAGGGTCCGCATCCTTGCTTTCTCCCTGGGGCTGATTTCCCCTCCTCTTGAACTCTAATTGATATACAACAACACTGGGACCCTATGCCAGTCCTGGTGAACTCTGACCGTGACCCTTGATGGTCACAGCTGGGGCACACATTGGTGTGATACTAGTCTTGGTTTCTCTGATCTGTGCTGTAGGTGAGGCAGTTAAAGGAATACTAAAATGAAGAGTGGTAACTTGAGCCGCTCAAGACATAACTATGGCAACAGGCAGAGTCATCGAGTCAGCAAACTAGCTCCACAACTTCAAAGGCGATCAGGTCACTGGCAGTCAATGAACCAGTATATAGATCAGTATAGGGTGACACTGCACTTAGATGTAACTGAGACTAATTGAGTTTTGGGATGAAAGTTCGATCCTTCTCTTTTAAAGTTTAAGAATACTATTGTGTTGTTAAAGTCACATATATAAAATCTGAAATCACACAAATCTAATCACAATAATTTTCTTCAATAAGTGTTTTGACAACCCTTCTTGTTTAATGTTTTGGTCGATGAAAAATGGAAACATAACAAAGTGCTCTGTTGAGTTTGAGGATGGTCCAATGAAGGATGGTCTTAGTGTGGGATGGAGTTTGAGGAGAGCATGAGTCATCCATGCAGCTGGGATACATCATTAAAGGCAAAGTTCAGAGCCCGAGGACTCATTTGGAACGTTGGGGACAATGTTGCAAGTTCAGATAATGCAACATGCCAAAAAGTTTGATTCTCATAACAATCTTCATCATTATCATACTCACTTTAATGGAAATATTTTGCTGGATATCTTTACTTTTAGAACAGAAGAGGAAAAGCTTATTCATGATCATTTTGCAATTGCAATTAAATGAAAAAGAATGATTAATTCAAGCAAACCTGAGGTGCAAAATGGGACTGCTTTAAACTGATATTCCATTTGAAACTTTTAGGCAAATTGTTTTTAGAATTCAGTCTTTAGATGTTAACTTTTACTTTATTCTAATATTCTCAGACTTTAATATACCATTTGGATGCATACCTTGTAAGTGCCTTCAATGTGATTCTTAACATATTATTATGCTGGATCAGTTTTTCTTCTTCTCCTACCCGCTAATCCTCATTTATGGATGAGCTTTTCCATGTGCTTGTGGGGAGGTCAGGCTGATTTTGCTGAGGGGGTGTAGCTCATAAAGGGGCTTTAAAAGCTCCCGGGTAACTCTGCTTGACACAGGAGAAAAAAGAGGAAAGAAAGAAAAGTGGAACGAATGTTGGTCAAAGTCCAACAACAAAAACCCGTGCCATCACTAGCCTGTTAATTCTGGAAGAAGAAGGAATAATAGCTTTAAAGGGCCAAAACATTTCACATGACAAAAACTATGAAAATTACCCTATTACTCTATTCCATTTCCTTTCATCTAAAAATGCCATAATCTACATGATGACATAATTTCAGTGAATTCTCACCACACACAGGTGTTTAACCGCCATGTGTCATCGCATAATGGCTGTGGTTACATGCCAAAACACTGTGTAATACATTATATGTTTTTTTTTTCTTTTATTCAGAGGCAGCGCAGTAACACCACATAAACTCACCTGCCCAAATAAAATGCCCGCACATATGCTTCCATCTCGTGAGCTACAACCATAAATCGAAACGCCACTTTGTTTGGGCTGTGTGTGCGACCACAGCAAATAGCTTCTCAAATAGCCGTCTCCTCTGACACTCATCTAGTCACATACTGACATCTGGTCGGTACTTTTATAGCCATACTTTCACCAAGCTGGCTACTTCCAATGTTTAGTTCAATGGTAGATCATAAAAGTGAAGTAAGTCCAAATCAAATCAAGGTTGAACTCAAAATAGTTTTGGAACACAAACTCAAATTGATCAATCTCTCGCAGTGGCCCATGTTATTTCATAAATGCGTCTAGTGCTGCTGCTGCGGCTTACCAGCAAAAACTGATTTTAAAAAAAACTTTGAGAGGGTTTGTGGCACACCAACAATATGTAATGTGTGGGAAATAAGAAAGTGTTACGCTCAACCTCAAGTTCTAGTATTGACAACTGCAATGTTTTCTCAAATATTCCCAAATCATTTTGGACGAGAGAGTCCAAATATTGCACAGTAAGTGCTGGCAGTCCTTAAGTTTATTTTTACCATGATACAAAAGTTGAAAAATCCTCGTGTTAAAAACAGCTGGAGTAGCATCCAGGCAGAAAACAGGATGCAGCATACAATGCGCAAAGTGCAGTCAAGAAATTGCTTTCTGAGAATTGAGAAAACCCTTTGACATTTCTGCAGTGATAATAACCACTGCAAGGATCACTTAACTAGGTGTGTTCTGATGTATCTAAGATGTTGACAAAAGAGCAAAAAGCATTAGATAGGACAGCTGGAAAAATTTGTATCTTTACGAACAAGGTCAAGTTCTTTTCATGTAAAGAATCCTGAAAAGTATCCGCTCTCTGCATCCAGGAAACATTTATATCACCACAGGTACTTTTCCGTCTCAACTGTGGCAGCTCTGAATAACAGAATATTTCCAAGCTGTAGTACAGGCAAAAAAAAGCTAAATTTATTTTTGTAGCAAACTGGAATGAAGATGTTCAATCAAGAATTTAATAAAAATCAATCCACCGTTTAATTTAGTTATAAAAAGAAAAATTGGAATATCACGCAGTATGCTATGTTCCTGGCACAGAAAGCAATGTTTTATCCCCTGTTGCTACAAAGAACTGACTTCACTTTGTGTATAACCCATTAATTCTATTCTGCATGCACAGTCGTCGTCTGGGGTGTTGGTTTGTTGGTGAAGAATGCTTTCAAAGCATGCGAGAATGTAATCTTTAACAGTCTTTAGTGATGGGCTAAGCCCCCTGGACACTGCAAAGCAATCAGCCTGCCTCCCAGACAGATAACAGTATATCTGGATCACACGCACTCAAACACACAGATGCACACCCATCAGTCCATTCGGCAGCTCTGGAGCGAGCATCCTGGGGAGGCTAAGCTCTTAATTTGTTCTGACCGGAGCCCGTTGTGTCTCGGTAGGCCAATAGCTGAGGCTTCTCTGTCAATGTGAAGGAGTGTTTGCCTGTGTGTGTGTGTGTGTGTGTGTGTGTGTGTGTGTGTGTGCGTGTGCGTGTGTTTCGGAGAGACTGAGAGGGCTCAGTGCCACTGCCACATTATGAGAAATCATTTGTGAGGAGCGGTCTCCCAGGGCACACTGCTTATCGGAGCGCAGTCAGTGGATGACGTGAGTAATTACAGATGATTCACCTTGAGGACTTGATCATCAGCAATATCTCTCTGTGTATGTCTCCCTCACACTCTTTCCTGTCCTCCTTCCTCTCATCTCTCCTTTCTTTCTTCTTCCTCTCTTCATCCTTCATCCTTTTGATCCATCTACAACAGCCTTCTATTTCTCCTTTTCACTAACTTAAAAATGGCTTCGACTTACATAATCACTCACATTTTGCTATACTATAGCTCAAGCCAAAAACAAATTAAAATTTACAGAAATTGATAACTAATCAAATTGCGTATCCTCTGTCACACACTCTCATGCCCGATTCTGGATCAAGGCCTAAGTCTATGTGCACATTTTCCCAGCCGCTCATTCATTCATAACTTCAGTCAGCACATCAGTCTCGTCCCTCCACTTGTCACGCAATTGTTGTGCAGCCTGCAATCGTCTTTAGACTAAATGCGTTTTAAAATGTCTGCAGTTTTTCCTTTGGGCCTTTTTTTTTCATTGTGGTTCAGCCTCATGAAGAAGCTCAGTGTGTTCTTCTGACGGGGGCCCGACGCTGTGTACGGACGAAGGAAATGAGGTTTGGCAGCTCCATGGAACAAATGACTGGATTACCTTAAGCCACTGCCAAGGAGTAATTCTAACACTTAATAAAGGAAAAACAGGGACGTGTGTGTTTGTGAATGTGTTGTGAGCAAGACAGAAAGAAAGAGAGAGAAAGAGTGGGCCAGCCCAGAGGCACAGGAGTCTAACAAGTTAGATAAATAAACAGTGAACAAGAGCCCACAGAGGGTTTGAGTAGCAAAAGGAGACTGATAGATGAGGCGGCAGCTATTTTTCTTCAATTTTCTTTCTTGCTCCGACTCTACAAAAAAATCTGTATATATCTCAATGTACTTAAGACGTTGAGGTACATAAAAACAAAATGAAGGACAGTAAGAGAAAGGATGTGCAAACACATTGATTAATGAAAGAATGATGATGTTGAGAAAAATGCAGTCTGCAAGTTGGATAATGTTTTGAAAAGAAAATATTCCTATTCATAACTTACAAAATATGTAGACCTCTATCTCTTTCATTATATTCTGTTCCAAACTGATGTTCATTATTTTACTGACATTGATGTATAAACATGCAGAAGAGACACTTTTAAATTGAAATGTGTTGTAATCTGTATGTTAACTGAGCAAGAAATAGTTCAATAAAAAAATGTATTGGTGTCTTGTGCTGTTAATAGGAGTTTTGCTTCAAGATGACAATTCAAGGATGTAGATTTACCACTTACCTGAAACTGCGAATGGTTTGGTCAGTTTTGTGTAAAATTCAAAAGCTCCTCAACAAAGGAGATTGAGCATATTGTTCATGGTTTAAAAAGCTGTAACTGTAACAGAATGCTGTTGTATGAGTGTTGATGATGTAACAGTGAATACAAAGCATGTGAGTTCATTCACAGTCCTGAAGTCTATTGTATGATTTTGGTCTACAAGTTAATATCCTTTAATTGCATAATCTGTTTTTGTATACAGATTATAATATGCAAACAAACACACACAAATCCAGGACAGCTGCTCTCAAGCACCTTGACCATATGGCACACTGAATGATTTTTTTTTTTTTTTATCATTCACAACATGAGATGAAGAAAAGACAAAAACATTCATTTCTCTGAATGGGATTCGGTAGGTTAACATGACAGGATTAGCTGTAAAGTCTCAAAATCCAGATTTCATGTGCGGTTGAAAACCTTCAACCGTACATGAAATCTGGATTTTGATTTTGTTAATGTGTCCGCATCATAAAAACAAACATTTTGTGACAATGGTGAAGGTATGGAGTTAGACAATACTCACCCCATGTGATGGGTAGGAAATCCATCCCAACTCCCCTTGGCTTGCTTTAGAGTCTAACAGATTCACTGTGGTGAGAAGAAAGAGAGAGGAAAAAAAACAAACAGCGTATGAGTGTCTAGTTCTTGTTAGCCTCAATTAGCCTTTGTTCAATCCCATAGGAACAGCCTCTAACCTCAAGCACTGATCGTGACTATTTACTCAGCTGCCGCACACACACGCACAGCCAAGGCATACACACACATGCAGACACGCCCATGTTCATACGGCTAATTTGTGAGAACTATCATTGATCCTTCCTCTATCCCATACCCTAACCATCAACTTTGAGGGACACCATCACCTTTGCATTTGGTCTTTTTCTAACCTTTCCCCCAAAAAAGTTTTCATCCCAGAACCACCCTTTTAAATGCTATAACTTGAAAAGCCCTCATTTTCCCCGGGATGTTCACTATATATTTTATACAAAAGTATCATCCATTTTCAAACACAGATTGTCTTGGTACAATGATAATAGCCAACTTTATTCTCCATAACTAAAAGCAAAATGGTACCAGAGTTACATTACAGCTGCCAATGGGACCAGCAATGCAGATTACCACAACATGCGTAAGCAATACCGATCCCTCCCATACGCCATAGTGGACTTAAATATCTGCTAAGCTGATTTTCCAAACAAATATATATTGCTGCATTTGCTAAGAACGCAAAAACCATCTATAAGCTGCAAAAAAGAGAGTGAGCTACATGCGAGCTGTGCATAAACTGATTTATGGACTTGCTTTTGTCTTTTTGATACTTTTTTACTTCTAAACACAGTTTAAAACGTATTTTATTAACGTACTAACTCCAGCATCTTCTGCAGCCCCACTAAGTCAGTTTTACAATGTCCACTCAGATGTCATGTTACAATCAACATGGAACAGAAGCCAATAAATACGTTCAGTCTTTTAACATAAATGAAAATACCTAAGTCAATAATAAAAAAAATTAAAAAATAGCCGTGGGTGTTGATAGGTTTTGTGCTGCGTGAGAGAGTAGCTTGAAAATTACACACAATAAACACAAAATACGGTACAGAATGTTTTTTTTCTAGCCTATATCCTCAAGGGAAACCAAAGTAAAGCTAATCTTAAAAAAAACATTGAACTTGTTTATTTTCAAAGACCCATGCTTTTGACCCATCTAAGCCCTGTTCTACCTAGATGCACTCACATCCATGCTTATTGGATTGTAACCAGGTAAAGCAAAACTGCTTAAAATCTAAATTCAAATGCAATCTCCAGTTTCAGAAGCGGTCAGAAATTCAATTTTCCACACTGAAACCAAAATGTTAATCCATTTATTATGAATAAAATTGCCCCTTTTTTGTGTCTGTTTGTGGGTGCTGCTAGGGATATCTTTTTTCAGATATTAAACAGCGGAGAGGAGAAATCCATGTCTAATAGAAGAAATATGACAGAGGATAAATAAGACAAGGAGCTTAGCAGCATTAAGATGCAAGCTGAGACTTTACAAAAAGGACATCCTGTAGGCAACTGTATTCGACTAAAGTCACAGAAATGCCCTCATACTTCTGAAAACAGTATTTATTTTAAGTTATATTGTACAAAACCAAGTTGCCTGTTCACTGATGTATAGCTGACCAGACTGAACAGGAGAATTTTGTGTTTTTAGAGTAAACACATGCCTTTGAAATGAATAACAGCCATTTAATATATTGACAGAAATTGTCAAAGAATGAAGAAGATGAGGCAGCTTTAGACTTTGTGGAGCACTTTCTGTGTATTCATTTAATCATCAGACGTTTGTGCAGCTTTTTTATATTTCATTTTTGAAAATTAAGAAATAGATGCTACCACGGGGAGTTCTGACACACCCATGACAGTAATCCATAACAGGAGAAAAACAAATATAAAATCATCAAATAGCCTTTGTTTTATTATCATATTATTGGACCTGTGTGAAAAAGGAAAATGACTCAAGCCTTTCAACCTCATCTGGCTGAGAGCATGAAACTGAATACGGAAAAATAATTGCTCTAAACATTTAGCAGCTATGAGAACTTGTTGCGGCTTTGCATGAATGCAAAGTTTAATAAAGAAATCCCAGTTTTCTTCAGGTATATCACAAAGATATCAGCTGATAAAAAGCCCCCTGAGACAGAAACATATATGGACACTTCTTTCCTAATTCTAGACTTGCAAAAACATCATGTGGAGGCCCACCTGACCCATTGCTGGGTGCTGATGCACCCAGACAGATGAGTGGCATTAGACACATCGCTATTAGCATCTAATGAAGCTATCTGTTCATGTCAGATAATAGCAGCTCAGCATCCAGGCCCATTGCTCCCAATTTGCATTCCTCAACGAGCCGAGCCCACCACTCAAATTGAGCCAAGCGGAGGAATTTGAGAGCAGAAAATTAGACAGCTCTCATATCGCAGGAGGGAAGAGGCCCCTCCAGCTGCACTTGGCTACAAACTAAGCACTCACACACGCACATGGAATCACACACAATAAACACAATATCCCATCAGAGGATGCATCTTCAAGCAAGAAGCAATGGGAGTAAACACAGTGAAAAGCTGAGACACTGGATAAGGGCAAAGGTGTTCAATAGTGATGCTCACATATCACATGCTCGGATTTACAAAATAGCTTTTACGCACAAATATGCATCCGCTATAGATACACCCTTTTCTTGCCCTCGTCAAAACATATTTTTTCTCTCGTTTGTGCTTTCAAGCAAGCACCAAAACGCATTCTAACATTTGCTGACAGTCTTCTTTCTCTGTCTCTCTCTCTCTCACACACACACACACACACACACACTCATAGACAGTTAGCAAGCTAGCGTCAACCAAGCATATAGCCCCTGCCCCATCAGGGAGTGCCTCTAAACGGGAGTATTAATAGCAAACTCAGCCAGCCTGTCTGAGAGGGAGCAAAGCGCCAGAGGTAGGAACAGGTGAATCAATATATAAAGCAAACCGAGACCACCGCTAAAAAACCCACACACATAAACTCAAGCCTGACGGATGGGAGTCATCAGCGACACTAAAGATATGATTATGATGATACATGCCGTCTAATCATATATCTTGTATCTCTTGCTTTAGCGTAAGCTGAACCCTGGAGCGAAGACATGCATCGAGGGTACTTATTTTGATGTCTCTGTTATCAGAATTTATGGCCCGGCAGATTCTTTAGCGCACATTTTTTATTTGATAGTCCCAAATGACTGACGCTGACGAACATGGAAAACTAACTATAGACAGAATCTAAAT